ACGTCAAGATTTGCCTCAACTGTTAGAAGACTTAACGCTAAATTTACATTGTGACATATTTTTCATGTACGAAGGTGCAGTGTGCATTATGAGAGTTTATTTAAACAAACAATACTATGGAATATGGATTGGTAGAGGTTAGGATGCTCCTATTCAGTGGCCACCTCGATCACCGGACTGTAATCCTTATGATTATTTTATCTGGGGCACTTGGAAACCAAAGTTTATGAAGTTTCTATGGACAACATTGAATAATTATATGATAGGATACTTTAATTTCTTGCACCGAATTGAAATCTGCATAAACGAAGGAGCCTGGCCATATTGAACATTTGCTGTAAAAAAATTAACCCTCTTTTAGAATTGCTATTTTTCAGTAGACACCTATGCCTATTGATGATTTTTTTTATTGTTATAACGTTAAAATCGACAGTGTTCGGGTTGCGGTAGTTATAACCGCCAACTTAGTTTTCTTAAAAATTTTAAGTCACTAACCATCAGTCCATAATTTTTTTTTTACTCAAATACCGTGAGAGATACATGTTTTTTGCCAAAAACAAAAAATGCTTCAAATGAATACAGCTTTCACCAACATACAGTGGCTTTATGTATTCAGAATTTTGGGATACCCTGTCCTGTATACATAGGTAATGTTGTTAGTAAAACATTTTTATTTGTCAATATATGATAGTTGGTACATGTAACAGCTTCAGAATTGTCTGAATTTTCGTGGACTATCCTGTCTGAAAATAGGGTTTTCATGTTATAGTTCATAATGTAGCTTATTACATCCCTATATACCACAAGTCTTTCTCTTTCTGCAAGTCTTTATATTATGATATGGCGAAAACATCAGAGGCAGATTTTCTTTGTTGCTATTAGTGACCACCTTTTGTTGGTTAAAAGTAATTATTTTTCAACACTGACATGATGATTGTAATCGTTACAACAAAGACACCTTATATTCGTGACTTTTGTTGTCATAATGTATTTCTTGGCATTTCTAAATTTTGAGTGAATCTGACTTTGAAAATTGTCTAAGAAATTTGGGTCATATTGTTTGTCTTTTCTTCTAACCTTGGGCATAGTTCGACCAATTTTAATTTTGGATTGCGAATTTTTGAAAGATATTCAATCCATAAAAGTCAATAACAACTTATTTAAAATTGGGTTTCGCAAATGATTTTCTTCGTGCAAAGATTCTAAAGTAGCTACAAAATTTTTGATTTCGTCCGAAAATTCAATGAAAAGATCGAATTTATCTTCTATGTTGGAATTTTTTTTAATTTGTCCGAAAGTACGAAACTTATTTATTCAGAACGAAAAAATCGAGATTCCAATAATTTTATGAATTTTTCAACATTCTGTGACATATTTAGTAATGACAAAGAATACCATTATACCATGTAATGACTGAACGACTTTTTTATTGATTACTATACGATGCAAGAGAGAGGTCCGACACGCCCAACATAGGGCGCGGTCATTTTGATTACTATGCCACAGTTTATAGGTTAAGAATCAGATCGCTCACTCTGCGTCGGCACTTTTGATTACAATGTTCCAGTTTATACACTGCGCAACTCGGATAATACAATATATGACAACCGCCTATAATAAAATAGCAGTATTCTGCGTATCCTGAATTTGTATCCCTGGAGTGGATGTTATTTTGGAACTTTCAACTGGTCCGAGTGAGCTAACTGATTCTTTAGCAATAAACTGTGACTCCAAAAATAATATTCACTGACACTGATCGCAGCAAGCAAAATCTCAGGTGCGTTTTAATCATCCACTTCTGCTTCCGGAATTGTCGGTTTAGTCGTTTTAACCTGTCAGATTAAAACAAGAAAACCGACAATTCCGAAGCAGAAGCGGATGATTAAAACGCACCTATTAAAAATATTGCGCCAAGATGTAGGCAACACGTAATAAGGGTTTAAAATGGCGGAGTTTTCTATCTCCTTTTAAAAGGCACTCAGAAAGCTGCGCAGTGCGACCATTCTCCGTATAGTAAAAGAAAATCAAAGTATGTGCTTTTTTAGCATTGCCTTTCAGATGTTTCTGTAATCTAATAGCGTTTTCGACTGGTGAAACTGGTGCGCACTTATTGATACTCGGTGCAAAATTTGTTTTTGACTCGCAAGAGCAGTGCGAACCGGGTCAGTTTTGAAATTTTTCGGTTGTAATCAGTTGAACTCAAAAAAATAAATGGGTGGGCACTTTTATGAACCGAGTGTAGAGACAGGTTTTCAGTTTCAGGACAGGGATTCTTATGTGCGTACTCAACACGTAACGAATTGAATAGAGAGAAACATTACATACGAATTGCATTCTGTGGAACGAATATAGTCGTCTCAAAATGTGTCGAATTAAAAGTTGAGAATCCCAATGCAGTCCAGTAGTAACAAATATGGCGATGGCAAATGAAGATTTGTTTCCAAAAAATGTGAATTTTGCAATTTTGCAGAATTTGTAGAAGAAATATTGGAAACTTCTTCGTCAGATACAGACAAAGAAGATTTAATTAAGGCCAAGTGTAATAAAACTAAACTGTCCAATATAAAATATTTACATTGAATCAGTGGTCGCACCTGGTAGGTACCATAAATATTCTTGTAAGTCCTGTATATGCATAGTATATGTACGTTGACATCTTAAGAACTTAGACATAAGTAAGTTTATGTTAACCTGTTGAGAAAATATTCTATAACAATATTAAATAAATGTTTAAAATGAAAGCTTGGCTGCTTAGAATGTACTTCAACCCACATACTTTGATTACTAAACGGGGCCAGAGAGAGGTCCGACACGCCCAACATAGGGCGCGGACATTTTGATTCCTATGACACAGTTTATAGCTAAAGAATCAGATCGCTCACTCTGCGTCGGCACTTTTGATCTCAATAGTCCAGTTTATACACTGCGCAACTCGGATAATACAATATATGACAACCTTCTGCGTATCCTGAATTTGTATCCCTGGAGTGGATGTTATTTTGGAACTTTCAACTGGTCCGAGTGAGCTAACTGATTCTTTAGCAATAAACTGTGACTCCAAAAATAATATTTACTGACACTGACAGCAGCAAGCAAAATATCAGGTGCGTTTTAATCATCCGCTTCTGCTTCCGGAATTGTCGGTTTAGTCGTTTTAACCTGTCAAATTAAAACAAGAAAACCGACAATTCCGAAGCAGAAGCGGATGATTAAAACGCACCTATTCAAAATATTGCGCCAAGATGTAGGCAACACGTAATAAGGGTTCAAAATGGCGGAGCTTTCTATCTCCTTTTAAAAGGTACTCAAAAAGCTGCGCAGTGCGACCATTCTACGTATAGTAAAAGAAAATCAAAGTATGTGACTTCAACCACATACTTGATTCAAAATATGTGACTTCAACTTATCACCCAGATGACAGCTATCAAATACAATACAATGCACTGATGGTCAACTGCGTATTCGGTTGAAATAAGTCACTAAATTAAACCAGTGCTGAGCAACGAAAACTCGCACTTCACGAGTGTGAACTGAGTGTGACCAGTCGGAAACGCTATAAACTGATTTCCCTCGTTGGAATAACCAAAAAGTATGTTTGAATTTCGATATTGACTAATAAAATTTGGCCAATCCATAGGGTTACCATCAAAAAATAGTAATTTCTTTGGCAACGATTGTCGAGTAAGACATTTTGAAATTTGTGGGTCAGTTCATTTGGAACTTTTAAAGTAGACGGTATATCTGGATTATAATAGAAAGATTCTTTTACCATCTTATCTTCTAGATTTGTTGGTGAATGCAAAGTGTTTTGTTTACCTCTCCAAGGATTCTTACCACCGGCCCACTCCTCAATGGTAGGACGACCTGACTCATATAGTGACAATCTTGATTCATTGCTTTCAAACTCATCTCCTATTTTTTCCAGTTGTAAACGTAGCTCTAAATCCTACAGCGCCTGCTTTTTCTTTAATTCCTCTTGCTCCAACTGCTTTTTCTTTATTGCATTTTGAATTTCAGCTACCCTGATTTTAGATGCTTGACTATTCTTACTCTTGGTTGTCTTTCTAGTGGATATATCTTTACTTGAATTAACTGCTATCTGTCTTGTCATCTGCGGAACATCCTCCGCTAGGATTTTCGTCTGTCCTGTCAACGGGGAAGTGCTCCCTCAACTTTAACTTTTAAAATGGATATTTATATCGGTGTCGAAGAACCAAAATTAATAATTACCAAAAATTAAAAAAAACAACTTTTTTTTGTCACTATCATCAATTTATTGTCACTATTATCAATTTATTGTCACATTTTCTTATATGTATAGGGTGTAACAACTAAGAACAATGTAAACATTAACAAGTAAATTTAAATATAAATTAATGTGTAACAGAACAGTTTAATTAGGGTGGGGTAGGGAATAGAATAGGTTAGAATAGTTTAGAATAGTGTAAAATAGGGTAGTTTAGACTAGGATAGATTTAGGTGAAATAAAACCCGTAACAAGAAACTTTATCGGTACCTAATATTTTTTAAACGTTCACTATGTATTTGAAGATAGTTCATTGAAGAAAATATCTGAATTTATCATCTATGACTACAGCTACTTAAGAATTTGATGCTTTTAAAATTTGTTTTTCTTAGCCAATTAATTTTAAAAGTGTTTTTAAGTATTTTCCGGAACAGTCATCCTAAAAATAAAAATAAAAATTATTGCATTAAATTTTGAAATAATTTAAACACAATTTTGGACAAGTTAAATGTATAACTAGATAAGTAACAAAATCAAAAAAATAATCAAAGAGACTTATAGGTGTTTTATTTAAAGTACCTTTCTAGGTTAAATATTTATAAATAAAATAAATGTAATCTAGCACTTGATTAGTAATTACTTAAGAAAATAATTATTATTATTAGTTTCAACAGAAAAATGAATATTAAACAAAAATAAACAAAAAATAAATATTGTGTGAGAAAGTGAAACCATCATAATAATGATTTCTTACCGATATTCTTTCGTACAAGCTCTTGGAATATTTGGCTTCATAAGCTTCTTTAATTTCTGCTAGATCAATTTCAGATCTAGAAACAATAATTCTTATTAACGTTCTATCATCTGTACCCAGACCAGCCATGGCGTCATGCAATCTTGTTGCAAGATACATTGTTCTATCTCTTATACTCCTTATAAGACTTAGGTAGGCGTCTTTAGTACTTCCTGGAACATAAATGCAATAATATTTAATAAAAAACGGTCTAACTTAAAAAGCTTTTGTACATCATTTTATTGATTTGATTTGTCATTTAGTGGCCTCCAAAAGGTTCACATTGCTGACACAAATACATCTGATGTTTAGTGGAGTTTAAAACCTTAGATTTTCATAAGCTTCGAGGATAAAGGGCTGGGCAAAATAGGTTAAACATCAAATTTATACTGGTGCGAAGTTATTTACATCCACAAATGTACATTGAGAAAAATACAGCTCCATTGTAACAGTCATATAACTTGGTTCAAATGACATGTAGATGCTTTTCATTTATAGATTTCAATTAAGGAGGTTTTAATACTTAACAACCATACCCGCAATTAACTTTTGCTCCGTATGAGGGGGTGCAATTGAGGGTGAAATTTATAAAAAAATCATAGAAGCCACAAATGGTTTTGTATACCTTTCTGCTTGGGATATGTTATATAGTTTGCTCTTTTCTTTATCCCTGATACCATGCTGGAGTTTGTTGATCCGTCTGAGGATGTGCAATTAAGGGTGAAATTGAAATAAAATCATAGAAGCCACAAATGGCGTTGTACATCTTTCTGCTTGGGACATTTTACGAAGTTAGCTCTTTTCTTTATCCCTAATACCATGATGGAATTGAGGGATTGCAACTAAGGGTGAAATTTAAAAAATCATAAAAGCTGCAAATGGCATTGTACACCTTTCTGCTTGGGATATGTTATGTAGTTTGCTCTTTTCTTTATCCCGTATACCATGCTGGAGTTTGCCGAGCCGTATGAGGGGGTGCAATTGGGGGTGAAATTATAAAAAAATCATAAAAGCCACAAATTTCGTTGTACTTTTCTGCTTGGATAATGTTATGTAGTTTGCGCTTTTCTTCATCCCTGATACCATGCTAGAGTTTGTCGAGCCGTCTGGGGGGTACAATTAAGGGTGAAATTTTAAAAATATATAGAAGCCACAAATGGCATTATTCACCTTTCTGCTTGGGAAATGGTATGTAGTTTGTTCTTTTCGTCATCCCTGATACCATGTCGGAGTTTGTCGAGCCGTCTGAGGGAGTGCAATTCGGGTGAAACACAGATATTAGTAAATTATAATTTAGATACAGAAACTATATTAAAAAATAACTCAAAATATATTTCTTTATATAAAATAAAAATGTTTTCTTTAAAAAAAACAAATTATTCCTGAATTAAAACATAATATCATAAAAGTACATTATAATGTAGGTACAGAAAATACATAAAAAATATAACTCAAAATATACTTCTTTATATAAAATAAAAATGTGTTTTCTCTAAAACAAAATAAAACCCCTCTGACGGCTCGACAAACTCCAGCATGGTATCAGGGATGAATAAAGAGCAAACTACATAACATATCCCAAGCAGGAAGGTGTACAGAGCCATTTGTGACTTCTACGATTTTTTGAAATTTCCCTCAATTGCACCCCTTCAGACGGCTCTACAAACTCCTGCATGGTATCAGATATGAAGAAAAGAGCAAACTACATAACATATCCCAAGAAGAAAGGTGTACAAAGCAATTTGTAGCTTTTATGATTTTTTGTTTAATTTCACCCCCAATTGCACCCCCTCAGACGGCTCGAAAAACTCCAGCATGATACCGGAAATGAAGAAAATAGCAAACTACATAACATATCCCAAGCTGAAAGGTGTACAATGCCATTTCTGGCTTCTATGATTTTTTAAATTTCACCCCCAATTGCACCCCCTCAGACGGAGTAAAAATTAATTGCGGGCATAGTTGTTATGTATTGAAACTTTTTCAGTTGAAATCTGTAAATGAAAAGCCTCTACATGTCATTTGAAGCAAGCTATATGACTATTACAATGGAGCTGTATTTTTCTCAGTGAACAAATTGTGTATGTGGATAACTTCCCACCCTTCAGATTTATAGCTTTATACGACAAGTAACACAATTAACACAGTTTTATTTTGTGTTTTGGATGCGCATTTATGATACATGCATATTTTTTATGGCGTCCTTACTATTAGACATATAACGTTATCATCATGAGTACCGTTTTTTTATATTTACAATTAACAGAGCACAGTTTTTCGCGTATAAATGCCAAATTGGGCTGTATGTTACAAAAAATATTTTCGAGAAAAATCTTTCATAACGTTAATTAGCATTCACAAAAATGATTATTTTTTATTTCAAAAATATATAACACATCACGAAATTTATTGTTACTACAGTATATATTGTGCTTTTTAATCGGTAGGTAACTATTAAAAAATAGTGTTACTATTTACAAAACTGGTACTGACTTTATATCTCGAATGTGATGACGTGATAAAAAAATTTTGGGCAGGTCGATTTTGTTTTAGGGTATCATTTTTATTACGAAATTTACGATATGGAGCTGTTAATTAACATTAGTTGATCTCATTTAGCAAACAGAATATTAGCATGCTTGCAAAATCACAGTATACTCGCTAATATCGCCTTAAATGCCCTTTAATATTTGCAACTCTCATCGATGATGGTAAAATGCATTTTTTATAATTTAAAAGTAATTTTTATTTTTATTTTTCTTAATATGGTTCGAAAAAAATTGTACCATATTCAATATTGATTGTAAATTACCGCATTTATAAGTTAGGCATGTTATTCATTTTGCAACAGCCAACGACGTCGGCAAAGAGACTAAATTTGTAATAAGCAATATTTTGCAAATTTTTCACTATCCAAATAAAATTAGCATTCCTGAAAATTTTCTGTTGAATTCGGTAGATCTTGAAAAATGTTAATTTAAATTTGCAAGTCGGCAAAAAATGGCAAATAACCGTATACATATTTTTTACAATTTTATGCTACAAAATGGTCGCAACAATTTTACAATTGAAATTTATTCAAATAGTACACCACAAACTGAAGCAACATATCAACTAGAAAAGTGGGAATTATTTGCCCTGTATATTTTCTTGCAATAATAAACGTCTGTTTACCTTGGGAGAGTCCTTGTCTTATTTTGTAAAGAACGCACGAAAGTCGAAAATATATAAATTCCGAATAAATTCCGAATAGTTTAGAATAAATTCCGAATAAATTCCGAATAAATTCCGAATAAATTCCGAATAAATTCCGAATAAATTCCGAATAAATTCCGAATAAATTTCGTATAAATTCCGAATAAATTCCGAATAATTTTTGAATAAATTTCGAATAAATTCCGAATAAATTCCGAATAAATTCCGAATAAATTCCGAATAAATTCCGAATAAATTCCGAATAAATTCCGAATAAATTTCGAATAAATTTCGAATAAATTCCGAATAAATTCCGAATAAATTCCGAATAAATTCCGAATAAATTCCGAATAAATTCCGAATAAATTCCGAATAAATTCCGAATAAATTCCGAATAAATTCCGAATAAATTCCGAATAAATTCCGAATAAATTCCGAATAAATTTCGAATAAATTCCGAATAAATTTTGAATAAATTTCGAATAAATTTCTAATAAATTTCTAATAAATTTCTAATAAATTTCTAATAAATTTCTAATAAATTTCTAATAAATTTCTAATAAATTTCTAATAAATTTCTAATAAATTTCTAATAAATTTCTAATAAATTTCTAATAAATTTCTAATAAATTCAAAAAGGAAAAACTTGTATTTCGTGCAAAACTTTTTTATTAATGCAAAGCGCTTTCGGCTTATTTGCCATCATCAGTGCTCATCTACAAAAATTGTGGATGTAAACTTACAATTTAAAAAGATTTAAAAAATTTATAAAATCTGAATTAGACTTTTAAGTCAAAAGTTAAAATAGTATATATACAATTGTTTGAACGAATTAAAAATTACAAGAAACAGACAAAGTGACAAAAAACCTGGTATTGGGAATAGTGAGTGTGGGATAAGCCCCTACAAATCAAATCTGATCTCCAAAAGCAAGTTAGCTTGTGTGGAATTAAGGAATCATGCCACCCTCACTATTCACAAAATTGAAAAAAGGTTAACAAATTAATTAAAATTTAAAGAAATTTACAATTAGAGGGTGACTGTGGAATATATATTTAAATTTGAATCTATAATGCAATATTTGATATGAAGAAAGTAAAACGCAGAAGGCCAAAGTAAAAAAAACTGAAGGTTTTTTTTTTTTTTTTATATGTTTTATATACATTATAATTATGAAAAAGTCTACCTACTGTCCACAACGTATCCAACAAGTTCCTGGTCATCCTCACTCCCAAAATTATAAATTTCGGGATGTTTACAACTTGCTAAATCATAATTTTATTAATATTAATATTTTCAAATTTAAATTTATCTCATTTTGGTTCAAGTTGATTAACCGTTTCCACATGACAGTGGTGACAAGCGACACTTGAAGACTTTGACTTGTCAAATGTCACTAGAAGGAGGTGCGTTCACCTCAGTGTGGAACATGTTTCTCCGAGTGTGATTCGAGTGATTGGAGGTTGACGGAGATCAAAATTTGTTATTGAATTTAAGGATTTAATTTATTGTTATTTAAATTTAAATAAATGTTTAATATGAAAGATATTATTATTTTGATGTCAGGACAAAACAAAAATGTCACTCGCGTGTCCTGACATCAAAATAATAATATCTTTCATATTAAACATTTATTTAAATTTAAATAACAATAAATTAAATCCTTAAATTCAATAACAAATTTTGATCTCCGTCAACCTCCAATCACTCGAATCACACTCGGAGAAACATGTTCCACACTGAGGTGAACGCACCTCCTTCTATTGACATTTGACAAGTCAAAGTCTTCAAGTGTCGCTTGTCACCACTGTCATGTGGAAACGGTTAATCAACTTGAACCAAAATGAGATAAATTTAAATTTGAAAATATTAATATTAATAAAATTATGATTTAGCAAGTTGTAAACATCCCGAAATTTATAATTTTGGGAGTGAGGATGACCAGGAACTTGTTGGATACGTTGTGGACAGTAGGTAG